TATTTACGCGGGCTGGGCGTGTTAGATTCCATTTGTTGTTACGCAGTCCTGATGGCATGATTCATTGGGAGCTCAGACTGCTAAACATCAGGTTTTGTGGATAAAAACAGTGGTCGGAGGAATCGCCTATATGTTATACCAAAGTCCGCACAAAAGTAAGCTGCATATCATCTTGGCACGGTGAGCCGTTTGAAACAACATTGCGTGCTGTATCGAGCTGATAGTTCATGATTAAATATGGTACAATCGTGTAGCCTCTGACCGGCGTCGAAGTCATTGCACTGCATAACATTCAACGGTGCAGCTGTCGTAGCGCTAGCATTAGCTACATGCACACAGCTGGCTAGACCGGCACACTGCACGGGGGTGATTTGTGCTTTGACCGCAGCCGGTCTAGAGCGACTGCGCCAGTGTATGTCCCTCTATTGTCCAATATGCCCGAGTGGTTTGTGACCTGGACAGGAGCAATGGGTACGTTATTGCCGCCTGTTTTGTGATGGCTCCCTCGATTGAATGACATTGGATGGGAATGTACCGATGAGGATCATAATGGATCCGATCCGATGTGCCGATAAGGATCATAATGGATCGGGACGGCATGGATACAATGAATGGTTTTCCGAAACAAACGAAGCGAACTTTAAATGGTACGTTGTATGACATGGGACTGATGTGCGTGATGCTGCTTTGTTGCTTAGCTTGCGCTCAGCTTTCCCATGACGATTAAGTACATGTGAACATTGTTCAGCTATGTCTTGCCGAAACATAACGAGACACTCATTTTGGAGGGTGGATTGTGTGCCGTTTGGTGCACATTTTCGCACCTTCCAGATTCCACCGACCATCAAAGGGAAAAGTGTGATGGCTGCGGTTCATGTTCTGTTTTGGGGTGGACGGCGCAATGACAGAGCAAAGCGGCCACGATATTTTTCCTATGGACTGCCACAAACAGGCTGCAAGCAAGAACTGTTTACATTAATTGCAGCGATATTTGTGGCTGGGTTGGCTCGGGACGCCATGTCGTTAGCGGTGCGTGAGGCACAAAAACAAGGTTATTGAATTCCTCTTGCGAGCCATCGTTAGCGTTTGTTTGTTATTTCGTGGCAAAAACCCGCATTCTGCTACCAGACGAGTGCGAGAATTGAGCTGGCTTGCAGCGAGTATCCACGCGAATCTTTCAACGCAGAGAGAGCGTGAAGCGTACGTTAGTTAATGCCTCGTGAGGAAACCATTAGACTCCGAAAATACCCTCTGGACAGAGCCACCGGCCTGCTAGTTGGAGATCAAGGCCACGCCATCAATCGCCTGGACGAATTGCTTTGCAGCCATTGCTGACCAGTGCGCTCTGCGCCCATTCGAGCACTGAAGCGTGGTGGCGGGGGCTCCATCGTCTGGGGGGGGGGGGGGGGGAGTTGCTTCCAGGCATCTCCCAGACGCGCTCTGCAGGCTGCAGAGTCTCCCCAGGACTCGTATTGGGTGGATTACATGCAGGGAATGTGTGGATCTGGATTGCGAAACCCTGAATTGAACCGCCTTGGGAATTGTAACTGCGTTTGAACAAGTCTTTTAACCTCCGCAGACCTGGGAAGACTCGCCATTGAGCCCAGGCGAATTTCCTCGGGAGATTGGTGCAGAAGGAGGTTCCACGAACCGAACACTTTTAGACCTGTAACCCTGCCCAAGGCATGCCTTGCAGGCCAAGAGTCCGTCCTTACAGCCAGGCACGGTCCGATACCCGCCCCGACCGTCATGGCGCTCTCCTCGTGGCGGCCATCCTCTGCAGCGAGATGGTGCAGTGTGATCAGCTCGGATGGAGCACGTCGATCTTGGACCGGGTCCCCCGATGACCGTCCGGGGCCTCCTCTGCCGCTGCCGGCGCCGCGCGCGCTATTTGCGGCATCAGAGGCCCCTGCCCCCCCCCCCCCCCCACCCCCAACCCCCACCCCGCCACTCCACCCACCATGTCGTTCTGCGCTAAAACCGCGGCCATGTTAAAATTTTCGTTGTTTGGGGTTAAGGATTGTTTGTGTGGTGTTTGCGGATTTTCCCGACTCTGTCTGCCTTAGTCAAGCACGCTGTGTCAATCAGCATACCATTCAAAGTGGGACTGCGTTTAGGGACGCAGTCAGGGAATTCTGAAGGCGGGGGAGCAGACTGGTGAGAGAAGAGATCATGCCGATTGGTAACTCTGTTCGGAGCCATCTTTGGTGAAGAAGGAATATGCGGGCTTAAGCGTCCCCTCCCCCCCCCCCCTCCGCCTGACTACGCCCCTGATAGCGTTCCTGTGCGCGTCCAGTGTCATTAACATCACGGCTGCCTTTATCAGGCGAGGCCGCACACTCCAGCAAAATGATTTGACCCTATTTGTATGCGAGGGAAGGTACGTGTCCCCCTCCCCTCTTTCCGTCGGTTTTTGCGACTGCACTCCAAACCAGATAGCTAGTTTTGCAGCTTGTTGGTTTCAACAATGTCACATAACCTGTCGGCATCTGAGCCACCTATCTGACTCACAGAGATGGCTCTAAGCCTGATATTTGGAGTCCAGTCGAGTCAAATCTCGAGCTGTTCGAGGCCATTGTGTCCTTCACGGTTCTCCTGTTACTGAATGCTCAGATTTTTAACGGAGACATCATGTGGTTTCTTGTACCAAGGAGACCGCATCTAGGTGTTACGTATTGTGTGTGCACGTCAGGGGCGTGTCCAGGAGTAAAAACAGGAGGAATTCGGGTGCTCTGCTGTCCATACAATCTATCACAGGAGATCGGTGAAAGCCGCGCACTCGTATAAGCAGACGTTACGGATAGCTTCCGACCATGACGCACGTGCGAGTGAGAGGCATCGGTACTAAAAAGCAAAACAGTTGAGGCAGAGATTACGCCACTAGGTGATCATGTTGGGGGAGGTTGTAACGGTGTTTATGTTGGGAGATTCCAACGATGTTTGTATTGGGGGAGGCTATAACTGCATTTTTGTTTGGGGCCGCAACGGTGTTTATGTCGGGAAGGCTGTAACAGTGTTTATATTGAGGGAGGATGTAGCGGTGTTTATATGGGGGTAGGCTGTAACAGTGTTTATATTGGGGGAGGCTGTAACAGTGTTAATGTTGGGAAGGCTGTGACGGTGTTTATGTTGGAGGAGGCTGTAACGGTGTTTATATTGGGGAGGCTGTAACAGCGCGTATGCTGGAGGAGGCTGTAACTGTGCTAATGTTAGAGGATGCTGTAACAGGCTGTAACGGTGTTTATATTGGGGAGGCTGTAACAGCGCGTATGCTGGAGGAGGCTGTAACTGTGCTAATGTTGGAGATGCTGTAACGATGTTTATATTGGGGAGGCTGCAAAAGTGTGTAAGCTGGAGGAGGCTGTAACGGTGTTTGTGTTGGGAGGCTGCAGCAGTCTTTTACTTATTTTACTTACTATTTTAAACTTATCCCTCGAGTAATCAAGTCTCGTTCTTTTCTGGCTCTTACTGTTGAGAAAGAGTGTAATGAGTTCGCCCATCCGCAACGAATATGAAAAGTTAGCTTACCTACACTGAAGTGGACAAGGAACATTTTGTGCGTCCTTCATGGTTAGCGACCACTTAGATGGGTTAAGGCTGCTGCTTCAGTGGGACTATAATGAGACAATCAACCCACTCAGACACAAACACACCAAGCAGTTCAGTGCTGTTAGTGCGTTAGTCCAGCTTCTTATCTACTACCCACATGAACACTAACTTGTAATAAGTTAGCCCGGAACTGGCTTGCGCTTATTACGGTCTCTCGTCAAAAACAAAGACGCGAGAACATAAGTACGAGTCATGCCAGTCGGTGCGTTGCAAGAAGTGCCACAATGCAGGTAAATTTGTGCAATGCAAACACTACAGTCCTGATAACCAAGCACGCAATGCAAGCATCCCAAACAAGTGACACGAGTCATCAAAACTAGCAGGGTCGGATTACTATCATTACATTAGATCAGCCCTTCAGAGCCTAGTCGTGTATCACGCAGATCATTTTGACATTTGTTTGCCTACTAAATTTGTAATGTTTTCTGGCCTTAGCTAATAGCCCGACAACTGGATAAGCCGCAATGTTCTAAGCCTGATAAATGGAGATCTATAGTCGACCATTCGAATGATCATTAATTAGCACGTAATGCATGGTGGCGTTATCAAAGCTCAGACCTGTGGCTATGGTGACGCTTATCAGTGGATCGTCATATTTCTTTGGCTCGTGACTCGTATTGCGAATTGGGATCAACATCGCGGCGGGGGCTCCGTCGACTCAGTGACGTTTCGCCTTTGCTGTGTAATCGCTTCCGGACATGGATATGGCGCTTGGTTAGATTGCTAAAAGTGGCGTGAAATTTCGCCAATCTGCCTAGCGTGGCTCCAGCCTAGCAAAGTGTGTGCCAGCCGTGATGCCTACAATTTTGTATCTTGATCTGTCTGCATCCGCCGCCGACACTCGTCCCTGGCCTGTCTAGATGCGCCCCGCAGTGATGAGTCCTCCTCTGCCCCGCCGACACTCGTCCCTGGTCTGTCTAGATGCGCCTGCCGTGATGAGTCCTCTTCTGCCCCGCCGACACTCGTCCCTGGCTTGTCCGCATCCGCCGCCGGCCGTGATCTAGTCCCCTTCTGCCCCGCCCGCACCCGTTCTTATCTTGGCCGTAGCCGCCCGAGCATTCGCCAGATACTGCTCTGGCTTTGCTATATGATTACATATGACCTTACTATCTGGCTATGCTTTTAATATATCAACCCGCGTCGTATCTAAATCCTTCCGTCGTGACTGGATCTGCCATCTGCACCGCCTTGGACCGACCCTGCCGCGACTGGCTGCTACTGTATCCGCGCTGTGGTGGCCGTATATTTGTGGAGCGTGGCTGTGTTCTCGGGGCGCTCGCAGTCCTGAGTATATCCTTCCGGTGTGTGACGATACCCTCCCTGATAGGACCCCATCCTTCTCTGCCAAAGCTGGATGCCTCCCGCCGTGACTGGACACGCCCCTGCTGCAGGTGCAGAACCTGCTGCCGCAGCATGTGACGCAGCACTTCCTGAAGGTGGACATGACCACCAGCCAGCACGAGGAGCTGTACGCTCAGTCGTTCGACGAGGTCGGCGTGCTGTTCGCATCCATGCCCAACTTCGCCGGTGAGCGCGGACTCAGAGGAGGGGCTGAGAGTGGGAGGCTGACCTGTCTTCCGGTGCAGCAGCAGCGGGCACTCAGGCTCAAAGGAGGGGAGGGGAGGGAGCTGAGAGTGGGAGACTGACCTGTCTCCCGGTGCAGCAGCAGCGGGCACTCAGGCTCAAAGGAGGGGAGGGGAGGGAGCTGAGAGTGGGAGACTGGCCTGTCACTCGGAGCTGCAGCAGCGAGCACTCGGACTCAAAGGAGGGGAGGGGAGGGAGCTGAGAGTGGGAGACTGACCTATCCCCCAGTGCTGCAGCAGCGAGCACTCAGGCTCAAAGGAGGGGAGGGGAGGGAGCTGAGAGTGGGAGACTGACCTATCCCCCAGTGCTGCAGCAGCGAGCACTCGGACTCAAAGGAGGGGAGGGAGCTGAGAGTGGGACACTGACCTGTCTCCCAGTGCTGCAGCAGCGAGCACGCGGGCTTGGAGGAGGGAAAGGGAGGGAACTGAGGTTAGGAGACCGAGTCATCTCCCGCTTCAGCAGCAGTGGCCCAATCACAGAAGGTCGCTAGCGATGAAAACCGGCTTAATTGACCCGGAAACGGATTTTGGGGATTAACATAGTGTTATTTGTGGCACTACGCGTCGGAGCCAGGCGATGTCTCCGTGATTAAAATGGTCCCGAGCCACCTGTCTTTCATCTCGGCTGGTTGCCGTGCAAAATGCATGGTTCATCACTTAGATGGACGGCAAGATGTGTGGAAAAGGACAGAGGCTTGCGTGAAATATTTATGTTCTTTGTTGTTAGAGGATATATAGCTGCACGCTAATTTTATGACTGCAGTGTTTTTCCTAGCATAGCGGGTTTTGTCAGATATGTTTGTAACTTTTCTGGCGGCTCGATTACTGAACATTCGACGCACGTCGGTGAACCGGCCCATAAGGGCCACTTTCACTGGCAACAAAAGATGAATCTGATGCTGGGCAGCACTGACGAAAGTTAGCGGCACGTTGGCAACTCGGTATGCTGCATCATTTGTGGATCCATCGGCCCCTTGTGTACAGGAAGTCCCACTTGTCGCCTTGGCTCATGCCGACCAGTCTGGGCGACACCTTTTCTAAATTTCAATCAAATTTTTCACTTGTGTTATAATGCAGGGGAGATGGAAATGAAGTAGCCACCGAAACTTTTCGAGATGACAACACACGATCCAATGTCGCTGATTGGCCCAAAAGAATTTAACCCTTGCCCCCTCCAAAACCCAAGAGATTTGGCCGCCACAGTTCACAGACACAAAGAGCGACTGAGCACAAAATGCTGCTTATTTTAAAGGTGTCGTGGTCAAGAAGAATGACAAATTTGAAAGCAATGGGTAACACTTAACGCGCAAATGGCGACATGGCTGTTACTGTGTACCACGCATTAGGCTATGCATGCAGCTTCCGAGCACGACCGTTCCGTCGGGGCATACAAAAATGAATGAAAATATCAAAATAAATTATCTCTGATTTGCCGTGGACAAAATCAATCGACTTCGCAGAGTGCAGAAGACATCGCAGAGTGCAATACTTCAGTTCATTGTTATCGTGTGCGGTGCGATTTTCCGACTTCGCCAACTGAAAGACGTCCTCGAATTTCACGCACCAAAGCGCGCCGAAAAATCCGCAGTAATTAAGGCTCCCAGCGCAGACTTCCAATGATAATATACGTTCAGCTGAGTCAAAAATGAGCGTGCTCCGCCTTTGAGTGCATCAAGCAGTCAGATCCGGTATGAATTCGGGTGGGGGATAAACCTTTGCAATGAATTTTGTTTGATCGTATGGACAGTTACAGGTTGAACTTTTTGCTCCGATAGATTTCTACTCCGAGGAATCTGTAAACAACCAGGGGTTGGAGTGCCTCCGGTTCCTGAACGAAGTCATCTCGGATTATGATGCCGTAAGTGTGCACTGCTCGGTGTTGAAAGTGTTGACTGTATACAGCAGGATGCGTGCCTCCTTGTCTGCTATGTGCCCAGATCGACATCGCTATACACTTCAGCTGTTTTGCTCATCGTATTTGAAGGGTGTCTCGAAATTGACGCGCGGTTGGTGCCGTCTGTCATTTCCCCTCTCTGGAGCGCGGAGTGGGTGCAATTTCACCGCGCTCGGTCGCAGGCTATCGCGCCGTGTCGGGTGATCACATAACCCTAGCGGGCCTGACCTCGGCCGGTAGCGGGCGGGAGAGGTCATTCCTTTCGAGATGGCCAACGTGTCGAGTCTGCTTATCGCCAATGGTGAAAGAGCACAAGCCATCAATCCGCTCCCGCGCAGTTGGGATGTTCAAGGGCGACGTGACCCAGGTTCAGGTCGCCAGGGACTTGGACGTCAACGTAGCGACGATTAGGCCCTGGCTGGCCCGCGACCGCTCAGGAGAGACGCTCGAAGACCACACAGGGTGTGGGAGGAAGTGGGCCTTGAGCCGAGTGGCGAAGATCGTCATTGCAAAGTCGGCCTTCATAAGGCGCCACTCGACGAGAACTCTGGCGAGGAAATTGACGGCAGGAAGCATCCAGCCTCCAAGTAGGCCGTCCACCGGTATCTGAAGACCAGCCTGCAGTGGAAGCCGCTCAAGCTCAGGTTGCAGCCAGGGCTTACCGTGGACCAGAAGCGCAGGCGGCTGGAATTCACCAAGGCCCGCAAGGACTGGTCCGTTCAGGTCTGGAGACTCGTCCTGTTCAACGACAAGTTGTCCTTCGAGCTCTTCCAAGCCCCTAGCCGCTAGAACGGACGGGTCCGGACCAACAACAGCTCAAAGGTGCCGTTCGCCGAGACAATGAAGCAGCCGCTAAAGATTCTTGTCTGGGGCATGGTGAGCTACAGAGGCCACTCCGAGCTACGTCCCGAGCTACGTCTGAGCTAAGTCCCGCGTGGGCAGGCCGTCACCGCCGACTACTACGCCAGGGAGGCGCTGGAGAAGACCTGCAGCCTCGGCGGTGCGGCGGAGGACGGAGAGTGGCCCGCTGACCAAGGCCAAACTCCTGCCAGGCATGTCGAGGGCCATTTCCCACCAGGACAGCGTTCCAGCTCATCACGCCAGGAAGACCCAGGACAGGTGCCGCGCCAACTTCCCGGGCTTCTGAGGAAAGAGTACGTAACCAGGCAACAGCCCGACATGTCGCCGATCGATAATTTGTGGGCGATCGTCAAGGAGGAGCTCAGCAAGATGTCGCCGGCCACTTCAGACGGGACACTGTTCCAAAACGTGCGAGGGGCGTGGCGGAGGGTGAAGGCAGAGGCTCTCGACAGCCTGATGCGCGGCATGCCGGAGCGCATGCGGCGATGCATACGGTTGCGTGGGACTACGTTAGCAAGTAAATCATGAAACGGTCTCAACTAGTTTCTCTGTTAGTAAGGACGACACAAGCGCACGTCAATTTCGGGATACCCTGTATTTGTCAGTTGGTCTGCTCTCCGTACTCGTACGCCATTGGTGTTTCTCTCCGCACACACACGTCATTTGTGTTTCTCTCCGTACTTACTCGTCGTTTGAGTTTCTCTCCGTTCGCACACGTCAGTTGTGTTCTTCTGTACTCGCACATCAGTGCCTCCTCTTCAACGCACGGTGAACACAAACAGCGTGCGTTTACACGAGTGTTTCGGAAAGCAGCGGTCAGTGACACGCTTCGGTATTTCGCTCCCGTTCCATTTGGTAGCGATTTCCGCCGCTGTGACGTCATGAAGGATCACGTGAGATGGGGTGTGGAAGATGAATGGGTATGGAATCAGATTAGGTGTGGGGTGTTTGTTAGTGTGGAGTGAGCGTAATTGATCAAATAGAAGAGCATTGGATAAAGGCATCGATTTCAAGTTATGTTTGACAACATTGGCCATTACTGGCGCTACTGTTTCACGAGAATTGATGGTCATCTTGTCTCAATAGAGCTTTCAAACACCCATCCGTCAGATTTTAGCATGAGTGAGAACAGTGAAATGAACATGAATGAAATGGACATGAATGTAGAAACTGTAAGGTATGATGTCAGCCATCTTCCCTCGTAATTTATTTTTCCTCAAGGCACATGTCACACATGGCAAGGTCCTGAAGACGGGCCAACATATATACTCACTAGCAGATGTGTTTGACGCATCTGAATAGTCAGCAGTTTAACATGCGCCCGGGTGGCCGGTTGGATACGCTCCGCTCGGGTGGGGGTCAATTTGACTCCCCCTGAGATCTCAGGAACCAAGAGAGCTGGAAACACCAAATTCGCAGGGTGTATTAGGCTGTACGTAACCTCACTTAATTAAAAGTTTGTGATTTCTAGGTCATGAATTTCGGGTCAAACAATGTCAAACTCCAGTTTGGTCTCCAAAGTGGCCCAGAACCTGGAACCTGTTCTACGGAAAAGGTCACATTCTCATTGAAGGTCAATGACCCTGCTTGACCTTTTGAAGGTCATGGTGCTCAAAATCATACGATACTGCTTTTAATTTTGCATTTGAATAAGCGACAAGGATAAGGCTAGGCAGTATGCTTCTAAAAGCGAAATGTTAACCTCGGTAATTTTACGTCAGTGACCTATCCTGACTTGTTAAGTCCATGGAGGATGCATAATGCGATTCCTCTCATCAATCAATTCTAAAGGAGCACCAGAAGCTACCTCATATAGCAAGCCCTAGAACAATAAAAGAGGCCGGCTTTAACCTTGGTCTGACATTCACATCTGACCATAGGTCAATAGTTTATTCCTTTAATTGCAGTGTCGCCTAGTAAAATATTCGGGAGATGTATGGCTTCATCTAACAACCCGTTGTTCCATCATGTTGAACGATTCCCTAGAAATTGGCTACATTGAGTCCATGGCCTGACTTCGACCTGCCGATGGTCAGCAACCTCACAAGATGCATTTAATGTTTTGATATCAAACGATTTACTATCCAAATGTCTACGGCTATGCATACTTTGGCGCGGCCACGTCGTGT